ACAAACTGAGGGTTGCCGGAGTGGGGGGGGTGGGAGGGATGGGGTGGCTGGGTGATAGACATTGGGGAGGGTATGTGCTATGGTGAGCGCTATGAATTGTGTAAGACTGTTGAATCACAGACCTGTACCTCTGAAACAAATAATGCAGTATATGTTAAGAAAAAAAAAGATAGCAGGAGGGGAAGAATGAAGGGGGTGTAAAATCGGCGCGGGTGATGAACCATGAGAGACGATGGACTCTGAAAAACAAACGGAGTGTTCTAGAGGGGAAGGGGGTGGGAGGATGGGTTAGCCTGGTGATGGGTATTAAAGAGGACACGTTCTGCATGGAGCGCTGGGTGTTATGCACAAACAATGAATCATGGAACACTATATCAAAAACTAATGATGTAATGTATTGTGATTAACAATAAAAAATTTAAAAAAAAGAATAACCTGCATCCTTCCAGTTACCATAGGCATCGTTTTATATAAAACATTACCATAAAGTGACGCATTTTAGGATTTGTGGACTACTACTGTTCTCGCTCAATTCAATGGGTTGGTCAGAGAATAAAAACTATTTTTGGGGGGGGGAAGGGCAGAGAGTGAGAATCTGAAGCAGACTCCATGCCCAGCACAGAGCCCAAAGCAGGGCTCGATCTTACAACCCTGAGATCATGACCTCAGCCAAAATTAAGTGTTGGACTCTTAACCGATTGAGCCACCCAGGTGCTCCTCTGGGGGATATAAACTTTAAAAGACAGTTATACTCAGTTAATGTCTGGAAAACCAGAAATCCAATTTTATGTTTCAGCTATTAAATGTATCAAGAAGCACTGAATTTATTAAGCATTAAAATGATTAGCTTGTCAATTTCACATCATTCTTAGACTTATCAATAAGCATGTGATATACTGAAACCAACTGGACTCCTAGAGAGGGGCACCAGAGAGCACGGGCAGCAGCCCCGGTGAGGAGGGGCCAAGTCTGGTTCCCACCACTGACCGGACACCCAGCCCAGCACCGGGCGCACAGATGCTTGTTGAAGAGATGGCCACATAGAGAGCTGACAAAAATGGGACAGAATGAGCATTTCTTAATACCCACAAAGTCCACTTCTACTTAAATTAATCAAAAAGCCTGTCTTGAAAGTTTCCTTAGTTTATCTGCTGAATGTAATAGGATCTAGGGTCCTTCAAAGCTTCCTTCCTCCAGGACACTGTTATAACAAACAGGACCACTGGAAAAACAATCAGGGAGGAGCAAAAGTCACCACCCACACTCCTCACCTGCCATGTCGATGGCAAAAGGCCTGTCTGCTCTCCAGCCGGTGTACCAACCAACGACTTTGCCGTTTTCCACCAACGGACGTTCATAGCGTCGCCCACCAACCAGGCCCACTGGCCAGACAGAGACTTTGCGTGTAGTTCGCATCTATAAAAAGGGGAAAGAGAGGTGGTTTAAGTTTCCTGAGGGAAAATAACCTGAAGGGAGGAAAGAAATGTGAACCACACAGAAGAAATGGGGTGGGTGGGTGGGGTGGGGTGGGGTGACATAGATTTTCAGAAGCTGAAGGTTCCGAACAGAACCCTCCTACTGGCAGCCTGTGGCCCGATGCGCAGCTGCTTGGCACCATCAGCCACCCTCTGTCGTGGTCAGCTGGCAGCTCAAGGCTTAAAAGAAATAAAGTGGAACATCACTTATTTGAAGCTAAGTTGTGACTATCAAAAATATTTTCTATTTGTTTCAAAGTTGAATCTTCAAACTTTGCATCTTTGGAAGTGAGAGGGTTGACTTCCCTTTAGGAAACTTGATTGCTCAGTAACAGCAAAAATTTCACTCAGAGAAGCCACAGGAGTTGCCTTTCTATGAATTTTTTATTTATACATGCACAGAAATAGTGGCTGGGGGCATTACTAATGGCATCCAGATACAGAACAAATACCAGGCATTCTCCAGAGAGACAAAAAGAAAAACGTACCCTACATTCCACCTTTCGAGGGAAACTGGGCCCAACTAGAGGAGGAAATGTGTCATATGCTCAGCTGCAGAAGCTGGCCCTCTCTCTCCAAGCACACACTGTAGCACCTGGCAGAGTTCTGGTTAAAGACAGCCCTCCACTGAAAGTGATTTGCTGGATTTCTTTAAGGGGAAAGACATGTTCACAACAAAGCTGGCTACTGGGGCAGCATTTTGGGGGAAAACCACCACCACCACCACCACCACCTTCTTTTTTTTTTAAAGATTTTATTTATTTATTTGAGACAGAGAGAATGAGAGAGAGAGAGAGAGCACATGAGAGGGGGGAGGGTCAGAGGGAGAAGCAGACTCCCTGCTGAGCAGGGAGCCTGATGCGGGACTCGATCCAGGGACTCCAGGATCATGACCTGAGCCGAAGGCAGTTGCTTAACCAACTGAGCCACCCAGGCGCCCCAACCACCACCACCTTCTAAGACACGTGTCGAACAGGACCAGAAGCAGCCCACAAGACACCTTTGTGCAAACTAAAGCTTCCCTTTTCTCGGGCACACACATATGCAGGGGCCTGTGGCTTGGCCATTACAGTACAGGCTGACGTCAGCTCCACTCTCCCCCTTAGCTGGGGGTGTCCTTGGGCGTAACCTACCCAGCTGCATTTGGTGGGCCTGTTGTAATGACAATTTCAACACCAAAGCTTCCCCCGCCCAACACCAAATCTTTGTCTTTTATTTGCTACAGAACTGGGTCATGATCAGTTAACCAATGGTTAAAATAATGATTATCAATCAAGGATTTTTTTTTAAGAAAAATTATATACTTGGGAAATATTTGCAAATATTATTCAAATGAAAAGTCTCATTTTTAAGATTTTATTTATTTGACAGAGAGAGAGAGAGAGAGCGCGCGCGCACAAGCAGGGGGAGCGGCAGAGGGAGAGGGAGAAGCAGGCTTCCTGCTGAGCAGAGAGCCCGACCTGATGAGGGGCTTGATCCCAGGACCCCGGGATCATGACCAGAGCCGAAGGCAGATGCTTAACCGACTGAGCCACCCAGGCGCTCCTCAAATGAAAAGTCTTATCATTAAAGAATAAAAAATAACTAGAAGCTCCCATTTCCCAGGCATTCCAATTTCACTTACTAATCTCCCACCTCACTCCAAAAAGATTTAAGGGCATGAAGCATTTCAGGTAACAAAGACCTCACTGTATTGGTCTTCCACAAATCTAGAATTATTTTTATAACCTATTACTTTCTCAATAAGTTAATCACCATTGCCTTGTGCTCATACTAACTTATATGAGGATTTTTAAAAAGTCCTACTGAGGTATAATTGTAGAAAAGAGTTCATAGTTCAGAGACTACTGTCTAAGAGACTTGCTTATAAGGCTGGCCCTTGGCTGGCATCTGGGAACCTGGCTTTTCAAACAGTCCCCCACACTCATAAAGTTTTGTCTGCCTGAGGGCACTGAACACCTGTTTTCCTTTTGGGAATCTGAAACATTGGTGGGCAGGAGGTGCCTACATGACGATAAAAAACCCTGAACCCTGAACCCTGAACGTCACATGGGTTTCCCAGGGCATAAGCATCGCACACCTGGGATGACAGTTTTGCTGCTGGAGGGAAGATGTGCTTGTGTGACCCCTTGTGGGAGGGAGAGAACATAGGGAGTCTACACATGGATTCCTCCAGACCCTTCTTGTTCCCTCACTGAGCTGGCTATGTATCTTTACTGTGTCACTGTCATAAATCTAAGCCACAAGTACAACTATAGGCTGGGTGCTATGTGTCCCAGTCAATCACCAAACACATGGCTGGTCTTGGGGTATCCCTGAAAGAATAAAATGTAATTTTTAAAGTGTAAAATGTGATACATTTTGATACATGTATGTAGCCATGAAACCATCACCACAATGATGAACATATTCATCATCCCGCAAAGCTCCCTTGTGCTCATTTCTTAATCCATCCCTCCCATCACCCTCTACATCCCGGATGCCCCTATCTGCTCATCCCCTATACCACTGAGCTCTTGTCCCTATGCATTAGTTTGCATTTCATAGAACTGTGTCTGAATGGAATCACACAGCATGTACTTTTTCATTTGGCTTCTTTTACTCTGTACAACTATAAAAAGATTCATCCATGCTACAATGTATCAATAGTTAACTCCTTCATATTACCAAAGAGTATTTTGTGGTATGGATGTGCCACAGGTTGTTTTTGTTTTTATCCATTTGCCTGTTGACAGACGTATAGGTTGTTTCCAACTTGTGGCTATTACAGATGAAGCAGCTGTGAACATTTGTGTACATATGAACTTCACTTTTTTTATTTTTTTGATAGATACCTGAGGGGAATGACTGGATCACATGGTATGTATACATTTAACTTTTTAAGAAACTGCCAAATTATTTTTCAAAGTGGTTGCACCATTTTACATTCTCACTAGAGTGTGTGAGAGTCCCAGTTACTGCACATCCTCATCAACACATGGTGTGGTCAATGTTTAATTTTAGCCAGTCTCATAGATAGTAGTATCTCACTGTGCTTTTAATTTGCATTTTTCTATAATGATGTTGACTATCTTTCATGTGCTTATTTGCCATGCATAATCTTTTTGGTGAAATATATGTTCAAATCTTTTGCCCTTTTTAAAACTGTTTATTTTCTTACTATTGAGTTTTGAGAGTTATTTATATATTCTGCATACAAACCCCTTCTCAGATGATTTATGATTTATGAATTTTCATAATTGTGATTTGTTATTTACAATATTTTATATTTATGATTTATAAATATTTTATCCCAGTCTGTGGCTTATCATAATGTTCATTCTCGTAATAATGTGTTTTGAAAAACAGAACTTTTAATGTTGATAAAGTCCATCTAATTCATCAATTTGTTCTTTCATGGATCATGCTTTTGATGTTGTATCTAAAATCTTTGCCTAACTCAGGGGCGCCTGGGTGGCTCCGTTGGTTAAGTGACTGACTCTTGGTTTCAGCTCAGGTCATGATCTCAGGGTTTTGGGATCAAGCCCCACCCCCCCACGCCTACCCCGTCAGGCTCTGCGCTCAGCATGGAGTCTGATGGAGATTATCTCCCTCTGCTCATCTCCTTCTTGTGAGCACTCTCTCTTTCCCTATCTCTCTAAAATAAACTCTTAAAAAAAATAAGATCTTTGCCTAACTCAAAACCACAAGAGTTTTCTCCTCCTCTCTACAAGTATTATAGTTGTAGGTTTTAGGTTTATGATCTATTTAGGTGATGATCTATTTTGAATTAATTTGTGAGTATGGTAGGAGAGACTGACTGTACCACCCAAGCACTCCTGAAGTTATTTTCTTTCTTCTTTTTGCATACGGATATCCAATTATTCCAACCACAATATGTAAATGGATATGCAACTGTCCCAGAACAACCGCATTGTCTTTGCACCTTTGTCAAAAATAAGTTGCCGAATATGAGTGGGTTTATCTATGGACATTCTCCTCTGATCGGCTGGTCCATTTGGTGATCTTGATGCTAACACTGTCCTGATTTACTGTAGCTTCATAATAACCCTGGTAATCAGGCAGTGTTAGTCCTCTGTTCTTCTTCACCAAAGTTGTTTTGACTGTTCTAATTCCTTTTCCTTTCCATACGAGTTTCAGATGCACTTGTCCATTTTAGCAAATTTTGATTGGGATTGCATTAAATCTATACATCAATTTGGTGAGAACTGACAAGCTTAACAAAATCGAGTCTTCTAAACCCACGAATATGACCTAGCTCTTCACTTACTTAGATTTTTAATTTTCCTCAGCAATGTTCTCGTGACTTAATTCTTGAATCAATACTAACGTTTAATGTTTATGTCCTAGGTCTTCTCCATAGGTGGGGGGAAAAAAACCCAGAAAATTTATTAAATTTCCACAGAAATATAGCCCTCTCCCCAAATCACTCTACCTTCAAACTCCTGTTCCCTCACACACTGCAGAAAATATAAACATTTCTACTTTTTTTGTTTTATGTATCAAACATGCCAAACATATGAAGAAACTAAAATCTAATACATGTGTTTTTCCTCAATTGATACAATGGCCTTACATCTATCTATAAAGTACTAAAAATAGTACTCTGTTCTTTTTTGGTATTTCCTTAATATGTGTATGATTTTTCAGCTCCTAAATTGCTTTTGCGCAGAGCACTAAATTTTCAAATCTGCTAAACACTGGTAAACAGACCCCACCTCAGCCTCGTGTGTCCTCTTGAAAATGCATAGGTTATGCCCTGCGTGCATCAGGTGCCAAAAAATTCTTGATAAGCACCAGGTAGTAACTGAAATGAAGACCACGTGTAACAAGCAAGCAGTGTGTGCCTGTGCAGGCCAAGGGACAAGTTCACAATGAAAAGAGGACAGACAATAAACGAAGTTAAAAATGTTTTTTAAAATAGGAATGGAGAAATCGCCA